ACCCGACGCAATGCCTGCACCAACCGTGCTAAAACCGCAATTAGTTTGGCTTATATCCCGCAGTAGTGACTGTCGGGCTGGCAAATTCCGTCTATTGCCTGAAAGAATAGCATGTAAGCAATTTGCACTCCTCGTGGCGGCGACGAGCAGCTATGCCGCGTTTTCCGTTTCCTTCAGTCTTACTAAACGCACAGCTGACGGATTAGCCCCGGAATGTTAGTGAGCCCATCCCTCTTCAAGAGACCAGACCGGTGCAGAGCAAACAGCATAACCATGCGGGTCCCTACTTAGAAAAATGTGGCCTCTAGGATATCTACCCACAGAGTTCCTTATAAGCCACGTAACTGCTTTCAAATAAATCTTCGCTCAAAAGGTCTCCAACAGCCTGACTTTTCAGCACCAAATAACAAACAAAACACGCTAAACAGAAATCCGGACACTTTTCAGTTTCTCCTCTTGTCTAAGAACAAATGCCTTCCTAACCAGTAACACCTTAAATCACGAGTAAACACCATTTGTTGAAACTGGACATTGTTCCCATCATCCTCCGTGACACCCACAACAGGCTTTTTGCCCTACCCCAGACCCCACTTCCAACTAGGGAAGTATTCTAGACAGCTCTGGGGAGTACGAATGAACTGTTGTGACGGTCTAAGCCAGACAACCTGATTTTTTCAACCCAAATCCGCGGCGACGCCCGTAAACAGAGTATTTTGATGACAATGGTATTTTGGGATCAAGGGGACAAAGACAGATCATCTAAGTTACAAGCCATCAAAAAGCGAAAAACCATCGCGCGCTAAAGGCATCTCATCGCGCGGAGCGACCTCCCGATCCCAATCAGGGACAACTCTGCGCCTTCCACGCCGCCGCGAATCCGCTTATTGGCTAAGCCCCACTGGCTAAGCGGAGACGGGCCCTTACCTCCCCACATCCCATCCTTCTGGACAAGGGACCGACCAAGGGCTCTTACTGCACTCACAAGCCCTGCGAAAGACAGGGCTATTCGTCGGGACAGGTCAGTTTTGATTTTTCCCTGACACATCCAAGTTTCTTTTTGTTTGATGCACTCAACTTTCGCCCTTTTGACTTTTGGTATTTTAATTAACTTCCTGCCCTCTAACCAGTCGTTCGTCACCACCCCAACGTCGCTCAAGTTACTAGTGATCCACCTCATACGGTCACGTGAAAGCTGACCTGCGCAAAGATTCCCATCGTCACTCATGCGCTCCTGTCCTTGGCACATCACCACAACGTTGCGTTCCCGCTCCGAACGGGTGTTTCGGCGGCCAAGGGTCAGATTGGCCTGGAAGTCTGTAAAGAGTGCTAAAGAATCTGCAGATTGTGCAGGCGGAAAGCATCTACACAATGCAGGAGGTTTTGTATTTATTATATTTTAGTCTATTTATTTGTATCATTATTATATTATTTATATTATTTATTTATTTGTATTATTATTATATTATTTATATTATTTATTTGTATTATTATTATATCATTTATATTATTTATTTATAATTATCATACTAGTTCATATCTTATCTTATTCTTCATACACGTGGCGCCTTCAGCTCCTCCGCGTAGCGCAGAAAGCGCGCGAGCGCTTGCCTAACGTCTACACATCGGCGGACCGGTGGCTTTTATCGTTTCGCGAGACCGGTGGGCAGAGCGTGGCACGTGCAGTAAGGAGCAGTTTTGGCCCATCCGTTTTGCACGGGGGGGGGGGGGGGCGGAATATGTCATGTAGAAATGTTCATGCAGAAATGATGTCATGTTATCAATGAGAAATTAGGGCAATATCGGTGGAGAATCGAACGGGGAATCGCTTGGTGCTCGATGTGTGGTAGCACTTGCCCAGCGCGCACGCGCAAACGCTGAGGAAAAGGAGGGAGCAAGCGAACACCGATCAATTTTCGTCCAAGTTGTACGGGATTCACTGCAGGTTGCAGTGGATCTTGTGTAAAGTGAAAATGCCAGTTCAGTGCACTTGCGAGGAATATTATTCACAAAGATAAGACAGTAAAACTAGCCTCATTCCTCCGAAAAAAACAGGAGTATGAAGATATAGATGCGTTACTATACGCACCATCATCACCATCATCCTTACTATCCGTACGCATCTATATATCTCCATTCTCCTGTTTTTTTTTTCGAAGAATGAGACTATTATTACCGTCTTACCTATACGTCAACACTGTATTAACATGGCCAAGCCATGCTTGCCTGGCAATGTTTAACATTCAGGCAAAATCGATTAGTGATACGTAGTTGGCACAGTTTTGGGCATGTGCGCTCGCATCCCTTGCAACAAACAAAGACTTGAACGTCAGGCGTTGCAGCCTCCATAGGTCGGCCCCGCGGCTGACACTAGACCGTGGAAGGTGGACGAAACAGGCGGACGAAAATGATAACGCATTTGAAAGAATTAGCCTTGAACGCTTTAAGAAATAACATTGCACATGTAGAGATATTCCGGACGTATATTTCATCAATGAAATTCCTAGATTGGTGATAATAGACCAGCTGATAACAGACTGGCCTTTACAGCACCGCGGAATGGTGCTGGAATATGGAGGTGGAACTGGAAGAGTAAAGGCAGACCTCTATTTCTCGTGTTGTTATAACTGCTAATCTGTGCAGAGGACAACCGCGAAGTTGTAAAAAAATGAAAAAGAAAAAAAAGAAAAGAAAAAAGATTCCCCTGGTCTAATCCTTCAACTGTACGAATAAATTTAGAGACATTCAAAAGCAATATTTCACGATAATCGTTTTTATGCCCACGGCGTCCAACGATTGGCGTTACCTGCCGTGGCAAACGAGTTCGGTTTGACGGAAACTGCAACTCAGGCCATCGTTGTCTTTGCTCCTCGAGATTGCAGGTGTGTCTTTGGGGGTTTAGGACGCACTCCGCTGCTGAGGCCATATGGCGTCGCTTGCCTCTCACCCTGGCAGGAAGGGCGGGCACCGCGGGAACCGAACCACGTACCTCTGGTTTCCCATACGCGCAGTGGTAAACATAGACTACACTGTCAGCCCCCGGAGCGAGGGCTCAAAACTTTTGATATCTGTTCCACTAGTCGATTCTGCAACAGAGCGGCGTTCCCAAGCAACCATGGAATGGCGTTGTACATATCTGACCCCCTCATACACCGCTCCGATTCGGGGCCACCTGCCGTCACAGGACCCCTCTCAGGCACTGCGACCCCTGACTGACACCCGAGCCCCTCATTGTGTCAGGGACCCCGATCATTGCAAGTCGCGGATCCCGGTCTTGTTCCTGCTTCGGAAATGAGTCTCAAGGACTCGGACGGGCATGGAGCCGACTGTTCGGTGTTCGTGGTCTCTGGCCGACTTAGACATCCGCATTGACTCAGGGGGCTCCTCAAACGATGCAAAAGGGACCTCTGACTAATATTCCAGGTCACGATCCTACAGGCCGCGATTCCTTGTGACCTGCAGCCAGTCCTTCTGGGCCTTATGCCCTCCAACCCGGCCTTTGATCGCCGGCTTCGGTGGGCCGCCCGGGCCTCTTCAGGCCTCATCGAATACTTTCCTTAGTCGGCTCGGGGCCCTTGCAAGCACAGGACCCTCTGTTAGGCGCTGTGAGGCACTGACAGATGTGCAAGTTCCCGACCAGAACAAACTACTGGCTTCGGCTTTATAGCTAGTTGGAAAGTGGGCCCTCAGGCCCATACCGAAATGGAACCGACTGTGTGGTACGGTGGTGCCAGACCGACAGATACGCCCATATCAACTCAGGGGCTCCCCGATCGGCGCAAATGGTCTTCTGGCTTTTATCTGAAGGCTCGTCCCAGCAAGGCAGGCGCCCCTGAATAAGACTCCGACCAGTCTTTTGCGCCCTCAGATCCTCCAACCGGGCCCTTAGTCGTCGGACCCGGTGGGCCCTATAGGCTCTTCGGGCCTCCTCGAGCACTTCCCCTGGTCTACTCGGGGCGCCTTGCTAGCGCAGGGTTGCCGTTAGGCACTGTCGGGCGCTGACAGACGCTACTGCCCGACCAATATAAAGCGATGGTTTTGCCTGTCCCTGCCTGGGAAATGAACCATCAAGCCCATGCCGCCACAGAGCCGACGTGCGTTAATGGTGGTGTCTGAACGACACATAAGGCCCTTATCGATTCAAGGGGCCTCTGATCAGCGCGTAGGGCCTTCTGGCTGGCATTGGAGCGACCGGCCCTGCGGGCCGGGGCCTCTGAATGCGACCTCTGCCCGGCCTTTCAGGTTCTTTGGGTCCCTAATCATAAGTCCTGAGGGGCCCCCGAAACCTAAGGGGGAGGGGTACGTGCCCCCTGCCCTCTGTCTGCGCTATTGCACGTCGGACCTAACAAGAACTGAAAAGTACAAAAAGGTGGGATACTCCCCTTAAGAAGGGCAGTGTTGTGAACTGCACCACAGAACCTTCAAGATGGCTATTTCAATTCATAATGCTGCACACACATGTGGAGCGTGCCCCCCAGAAGGAGTGTTCAGCCATCTCTCTGGAGGTTGAAGGACTACAACTGAGTGCTGCCACACAAACATTCCCAGACACAAGCAAACAATACCATATTGAAATGCAAATTTATAAACAGAGCAATTGTGTTGTCTACAGCTGCCCTTTCCACTTGAAGCATATGGACAGCTATAAGCAACTTTGTTTCATCATATCTCAAGCTCACTATAATATCCTTGAATGTTTTACATTCCCTTGAAGCAGATCCCAACTGGTGATTATAGTATTATAAATAATAAAATTAAGTTGTTTAAGTAAATCATGCATTGCAAAAATATATCAATGGATTAAAACAATACACTGCATGATCATCAAAACAAAATCCTGGAACTACTGCATCAAGTTTTCAAGGTAACTTCATGGTTGGAACCCATTTTATAACCTAAAACATGAGTGATGCCTTCTTAGGGAGTACCAGATATGCATCCTACCACAAATGGACCCAACATGAAAAGGCAATGCAGAAGTATTGAAGTTAAATTGGCCTTACCCTTTTCAGGCTCATTGCATTGTTGACTGATTTCATTGCTTTTATGCCAAATTACTGAATTTACTTGTTTTCTGGTTCCAGCTCTGTCTTGACCTGCTTGGACAGATGATGCCTGGCATGATGAGCACAGTTCAGTTAAGCAATGCACTCTAACATCAGCATTTTAGCTGTTTGACAAGGTACTGAGCATACAGCTTACCGACAACTCACTATGCACAGGAACATGTCTTTTCACATGCGAGCAGCGCTTTTAAGTGCATCACCTGTATGCCACATGTTGAATCCCGCAAAATCCATTAAACTGTGCCCCAATCCGTGCGCACATACCAAGCGCCCTACTCACTACATACCCACTCCCAGGCCAAGCCCAACCACCAACGCCGCAGTCATTCAAGGCCCTGAACAAAATACTCAGAGTGATATACGGGGCAATAATACAGTGGTACTACCTAGCAGCCTTGGGTACTCCTAAGCTCTGCCTAGCAGGCATCACAACACGCTATACGCGTACCAGAACTGGGGTTAATACCGGACTTCTGGCATCCTATCAACAGCTCGCGGTACCGACCCAGCGGCATGTTTGGTGCGGCTGTGGCTGTTTTGGTGTAAAGGCGTGAATTGGTTGCTGTCGACAGCAATAGTTCACCCGTCGTGCGAAGCCCGAAGGTTTGGCGTGGGGGAGGAGGCGCATGGGGTCCGATGCATTTTCTTAGTAATTCTGAGGATCTTCGAAAAAGGAAAGCGGAGATCATTTTCCGAAGTCCTTCAAATCTTTACAATAGGACACCTGTGCAGTACCAGCTCGCCGTCGCATCACTTACCATTGTTAACCACCCTGCCTCCGAGCTCACCTGCTCCCCAGAGATGCAGTTTTCTATTACCAGTGGTGGTACGCGTCCGAACTCGAGAGGAGACACCCCCCGTCCCTCGAATTTATTTCGCAGAACTACGACCCCATCCCCCAAGAAACAGGCGTCTATGGCGGCAGACCACCCATGGGGCACATGGCAGAGATTCTTTAGAGTTCAAGGTTATCGTTCGTGGTTGCGACATGCGATCTGCCCGGGGCCGGCCAACGATAGACAGCGCACGCGTGATTCAGTCACCATGGCGGACACAGCGCCTGGCATTCGTACCGCCATATTATTATGCAGACAGGTGCGACGTAAGAGCCGGGTTGATGCCTGATACGATCCGGCAGCGCCAAGACAGGAAGACGCATCCATTGTCCCAGATTTCGACCGGCACATTTGTTGACGACCAGCACGGCCCGAACATTGGAAAAAAAAATGGATCGTGCCTGCGTCGCGGCGGCGATCCGTTTACGCCGGTCCTTTTCAGTTAGAACGCCATGCGGGGCGCCTCCACCAGAGAACCCAACTTCTGAGTGCGCATTGTCCCATGGCGTGAGACAGCGCCAACGGGACAGCCGGAGGGGCAGTGGACGGTAGGCTGCGGCAATGTCACCGTGTCATCGCTGCTATGCTGGTCATGAGGGGCACTGCTGACCCAGCGCAGCAGCGACCGCCAGCATCACAACTTACACACCACGCACAGTGCCTGGTCCCACCTCTGGCCGCACTGGGGACGGTCACCGCCGTGGCAGGCTCAAAACGTCAGGCATGAAGCTACGCATCCTCCACCATAGGCTGGTTGGTGCGTTGGGACGGCTGACTGGACGTCCAAGATTCCAACATCCGCGGGCCCCAAAAATAACGTCTTTAATATTGCGCTGTGTGGAGTAGTGAAATATGGGCCGCTTGGGCCTCGAATAGATGTGGGGAACAACGAAATTCAGAACAAAAATGCTGCGACATAAAGCTTACAGCACATTTAAGGCCCAAAGTAGGCTACATTTCGAGTATCTGTTGAATATTCGGTCGCAGGCGAAAGTGGCACGGTGGCACAGCGGTAAATGTCTGAAACTCAGATCAGCGTTGCACCCGCAGGGCACTCTGGACTTGCACGCTACACCACAACAGCAGTGTGTGCTGGCTGATATCCAGCAGTTAAGAACATCACTCGGGGGGGGGGGGGGGGCGTTAGAGGTCACAGAAAGCCCCTGCTCTGAACACCCCTAGACTACGGATCCGACCCGCCACCGAACTCCCGAGGCCACTCACTGTCGCGGAGGTTGGTAGCCTCACGGCGTGACGTACACAACTGACCCTGTACGCCACGCGAGCTCAGCTCCTCGAGGCAAAAAAGGATCAGCATAAAACAATTAAGCAATCCTCCCTCTGGTACCAGTTTCATCAAGTTGACCTAATGAAATTCGGTTCACAGCTCTGTGAAGAGCAGGCCTTCGACACGTGACTACGTTCGGGGCCAACGTTCGGGGCCAACGTGATTACGTTCGCCACCAACGTAGTTCAGTGGGACTGGTCTCAACCGCGCCATTAACGCGCTATAGTTATACGCCGCAGGCGATTCCTAAGCTCAATCCACTCAACAGAGGCTTACAGTCTGCCGACGAGCCGGCGAGCACAATCACCATTGCAGCTGACGTGCCTTAAAACTCAATAAATAACGGCAAGTCGCTGGGCAGCAGACGCCTAGACACTAACGCGTATCGCCTGCTTCAACGAGGACCCGCCGTAGTGCTACCTGCAGTTCCTTTGGACGCGGATCGAACGGCGTAGGCGTGCCACGACGTCAGTCCACGACGGTGCTCAGGCGCGACTCCAGCCCGCGGACGAAAGCCGAGCGTTAAAACCCACGGCAGTGGACAGACTAGATTTATTGAGCAGTCGCATCCGCCGGCTGTCAGCCTGGCGACCTAGGTCGCGCGCCAACCACGGGCGGAGAATGCCGCGAGTCACAGGTCAGTCAGGTAGGGCGGCAATGGCTTTTGACTGGATACTAACGCAACACGCTCCAATGCTCGATCGTTAGACATCAGCGTTCGCCACACCAGTTCTCCCCTCAGCATTCTCCACCCCTGGCGCCGACATGCCACCGCGAGACCGAGGTGTCAGCCCCACCAGGTGGCGCCATCTGCGATACGCGGCCCCCAACGTCGCAGCAGCGTTCCACCCCGGCGCCGACACGACAGGTGCCAACGGCTTATGACACAGCGCCGACCCCCGGGCCCTCACCACAGCCGCGGGGTGCGATACCGACTATTCGGCCGGTGCCGAATCGTTGCGACCGAAGAATGCATCGCGCAGAAGGTTCGCGTCCTGTCACGACGCGCCGACACCCCGACGACAGGCGATGGTGGCGGCACCTCGACGCACCGCGCCACGTGCCGCCAGACTACTCGGCAGACCGCCGCCCAGACGAGACACCGCCGCCGTGAACTGCCAGAACACGGGGAGACAGGCGTGCAGCGTCCGAACCGGACCGCCGCGCCCGGCAACACCACTTCTGACAGCGTGCACCACAGACGGTCAGGACTGACTCGTCCGCGAGATCTTTACCACTCCCACCCCGCGCGCACTGCAAGACGCGGCAGACAGTTCGCTCCGACCGGACGGGACACACCAAGCAGTGTTGACAGGCGCGCAGTCTCCACTTGCGTGACGTCGCAACCATGTCGCCTTCACATCTTCACCCGGCCGCCGGTTGGACTTCGATCTCCGAAACATTTTATTGGCGGCGTCCACATGTTTCATGGCGCGACGGCGTTTCCCCGCCTCTCCGTCATTCGCTGCCGATGGGCCGGCGTCGACAGACGCGTCGTCGTTTGGTCGCCTTGGTCTCGGCATCGGGACGTCCCCCTCGCCTGGTCCGAGCCGGCCGGACCGGGGACCAGCGGTCCCTGGTCCGGTCGGGTTGGACAGGGGACCAATGGTCCAGCAGCGCTCAGCTGCGAGAGGGCTGCCCGCTCCGCCGCCGCCGTCGGGCAGCTCCCGGCTCCCGCCGCCACGTCGACCCTCATGCCCGCCATGCCGCCACCCGCTCCGGGTGGCCTCCGTCGCACACGTCGCCGTCCAGCTCCCCCCACCTACCTGCCAGCCGCGCCGGCTCCCGCCACGCCACGCTCGCCGCGCGGCCGCCAGTCCCGACCGCTGAGCGCGCCCGGCGACAGGCCAGGCTTGTGTTACCGTGCAGTCTCTCTCGGCTGAGCCGACGACGGCGGCGTCCTCGCTCTCACGTGGCGGCCGAGCCGAGACCGGCTGCACATCCAGATTTGTCGGACCGATCGGGCCAGCATGGACGTCTTGCGCCGGCCGCCGCAGCGCGCCGCGTCCGCTCCCAGCCGTGGCGACGCAACATCGCCGCGAACCGGCAGTGAAGTGTTGATACTGCACGAGTCACTGTCCGTCGGGCGTCTCCCGCTGTTCGCCGCTGGCCGCCTCGTCGTCGTCACTCCATGATCGGCCGGTCGTCTCACTCGCCGCGCCCGGGGCTGGGGCGAGGGACGGACGCCGCGGCTCCCGGCGCGGCGCCCGTCCAGCAGCGCGGCCGCTGCGAGAACGGCCGGCCGGCGCGCACCTCAGCCCGCAAGCCAGGCAAGCACCCGACACCAACAGTCAGTGGACGCCGCGGCGGGCGGCGGCCGGCCCGCCGGCCCGGCACCGCCGCCCGCCGCCGCGCCAGGAAAACCAACGGTACATTATGGATACGCCCGTGCGAGCGGCGCCGCGTTTATTAGAAGGTAATGTATATATATGTATATGCCCGAGATAACTAATAGTGATACGCATACCAGAGGAGACAACCAGCGCGCTATGCATGTGGAGACGGGCGGGGGCGGGGGCGGGGTGGGGCGGGGCGGAGGCGGGAGCGGGACGGGCGGCGGCCGCCGGCTCGCCGGCCCAGCCGGGGAGGGGCGGACCGGCCCCTCCAACAGTGCGCGCCACACTGCGAGACGGCGGCCGCCGGCGGGACGGCCGAGGGCGGGGTGTGTCCGGGAGGCCTGGGAGGCGCCGGCCTGGCCGCCGCTCCGGCGTGCCGGCGGGTCTGTTCGCCGGGCTGCTGGCGTCTGCCGTTGTGCGCCAAGTGCGCCTGACCCGCTTGTTGCTGCACGGGAAAATTTCGAAGCCGTGACCGCCACCGCGTACAGGCAGCGCTGGTACCCTGCGATCCTCCTACTACACCGACCCGATACCGGCAGTCGATGGCTTAAATCGAGCAGAAACCTGCATCGACGCGATTTACAACGGCCAACTGCGCAACTACCAGAAATAAATTAAAGCCACTCATTCAAAACGTTAACGATGACCACTAACCGAAACGGCAACGTCACACCACCCTACGGGCCGCGGCCTAAACATCGCTAACTGACTCAGAGCGCCCTCCTGGTTGTGGGATCGTGCAAGCCCGATCACTACGCCAACCGCGGACGAGACCGCCTGCACACCTACAGCCACATGAACCCGGGAGAAAGATGCACCGACGTACCACCAAAGCCAGAAGCGCGGGCTCTGCCCGTCCGTCGCCGGCGTCTCGGCGCCTGACAGCGGCTGGCTCCACAGAGCGGGACTGGCACCGTGACGCGGTTAGAGGCGGCCTTCTCCGCATGCAAACCGGCAGAGCAGCAAGACAGCGAGCCAGAGACCGGTTACGCGCGACCGCAGGGCGCGTGCCGCCATGCGTCCTCGGGGCCGCTCCGGCGGCCGGGGGGCGCCAGCGGCGCGCGCGGGGCGCGACAGCGCGTTTGGCGCCTGCCACATCGCCGCCGGCCCCTGCGGCGACCCGGCAGTGCAGTCTCCGGGCCGGAGCGCTCGCTTTCCCCTGCGGCGGACGGGACACACGCGACCCCCAGGGCAGGGAGGGGCAGGGGGTCGTGACGTCAGTCGGCGAAGTCACTCCCCGGCCGGCGCCGCCAACAGCCCTCCCTCCGACGCCCGGTTCGCGGTGGGGTCTCCGTCAGCTGGACGCTCCGCAGCGGGCGCCCGACGTCTTCCCAGCGGGACCCTCAGCAGACACGGCGAGAGAAGAGACGAGACAGGACAGGACAGGACAGGACAGGACAGGACAGGACGCACGGACGGACGGACGGAAGGTGGGCGAAGCAGGATCGACGGGGCCGCGGCGGGGACAGGGCAGGGCCAGGGCGGGCAGGACCGGGCGGCACGCAGACACACGCACACGCACAGCGACCCGAGGCCAGGTCGGGTCGGGTCGGGCCGGAGCGGCATGCACGGACCCGGCCCTGGTGCCGGGGGCAGCACGACGGTGAGGCGACCCTCCAGACCGCTAGCGACTAGGTCAACCCGGGTCAGATCGGGCTCCGGGCGTCAGCGCCTGGGACTACGGCGCCGGTGCCCGGCAGCCCGCATGCAGACGAAGCAGTGTACAAAGAAGACAGGTATACGAACAAAACGTGTCCGGTTGCTGATGCGCACAAGCTTACCCCATCCGAGCCACAGTACTCACAGTTGGGCAACTTGGCACGCGAAAGCGCGGTCCACTAGCTATCGACAGAGAGAACGGGAAACCGGTCAGCCTTCTGGCGAGGACGTCCTCGGCGGCGGCGGCGACGGCCGTGGCCGCCCGCCCGCCCTCCAGCGACGCTCACATTCTCTCTCTCTCTATCTCTCTCAGTCTCTCTCTCTCTCTCTCTTTCTTCCTCTGTCAGGGGACTAGAAATATCACGTGCCGCCGGCCACGGCCGGGCGGCGGTGCGGCGGGGCGAGCGAGCGGCCGCCGCGGCCGCCGCCGCCGGCTCGCCGGCACGGACAGCGGCGCGAGTATCATCATCGTCGTCGGCGGCGGGGTCGGCGCACTAGCGCGCGCGCTGGCGCGGGCGGCGGCGACGGCGCGGGCTCTACCGGAAGATGAAGCGCGGCACCAGCGACGCGGCGGCGGCGGCGGCGGACGGCGGGAACGGCGCCGGCGCGGCCAGCATGGGCGCCGCCGGCGGCGCCGCGAGGTAGCCGGGTGGCAGCTGCAGTCCCGGCGGCAAAAAGGGCGAGCCGGGCGCCAGCAGGTGCGCTGCAACGACACACGGCCGGTCGAGTCAGGCGACGCGCAGGACGGCCACGCCGACGACAACGGCGGCCACGATGGCGCAGCGGCGGCCGGGCGGGCGGTGCGCACTCACCTGCGCCCGGTCCCCAGACTCACCTGACGCCGCCGGCCGGCGCGCCGGCCGGCTCCCGTTAGTGACAGGGGTGCTATCGAGCGGCCATGCGCTACCGTTCCCCTCCACCGGTCAGTCAGGCGGCGCCGGCGCCGGCCAAGCTCCCGTCCCGCGCCCGTCCGCGCCTCCGCGGACCGCAGGCCAAACGGAGAGAGAGAGAGACAGAGAGAAAGAGAGAGAGAGACGGAGACAGAGACAGAGAGACAGAGAGAAAGAGAGAGGCGGGAGGGCGTGACAGACAGGAGACAGAGAGCGAGACAAACGCCTACAGCATCAGCCAAGCGGTAACCATGACAACCAGCGGCCGGCGGCCGGCCGGGTGACCGGCGGTCGCCGTCGGGTGCGAGCTGCTGTGCACGACCCCGGCCCCGTGGCCGAGCACACTTATCTGCCCCGGAACGTCTCCACGGCGACTCGCCAAGCGCGCGCGCGCCGCCTGAGCATCGAAACGGGCTAGCCCGCGCGCTCACAGCGGTCTGCAAAATATTCGCTGGTTGGCGACTGCTCTGAGGTGCGGGAAAGCGAGGCGCGCCCAACGGCGCGAGCCAAACCACGACGCAAAGGGCTCCCAAACAGCGGAAACGCCCGGTCGGAAATTGGAGAATCTCCCTGCGCGGAGGACCCCGGCAATGTGGAGGAGCTTGCGCGCGTGCGATCCGTTTCAGAAGTGGTGTTGGCGACGTAGTACGGCGGCGGATACATGGGAATCCCAGTGATTTGGGCTTACGGGGGCGTTTGAAACGACGGCCTATTTCTCAGCTATGCGTGAGAAACACTTCGCCTTCAGGCAGATCTCAGAAATGCTTTTCGACGAGGGCCTCGGATGAATCTGTGATTAGTCTTTGAATGTTTCAATTGTGTTGCAGGTCCAAAACAGATGTGATTGAGCAAAAGTGGTTGGCAAGTATATACGGGTGAATCAGGTTTCATCTACAAGAACTTAAAACACAGAAGACATGTGATCGTGACCAAATTTTTGTCACTCTCACTACATATCTCTTCTGGCAATTTGCCGTTTGCCCTTCTTCACTTTTAAAACCACGATCTTGAGGAAGTTTCTTTGCAGGAACGGAAAAACCAGCTGGTAGTGAACTGTTCGGGCAGTCGTTCCGTTTCGAAGAATTTTACCCCGGAAAGCAAATAACTGAAAAACGGCATGCGCACGGAAATAGCACGGAACACAGGCATGGCTGCCCCTACACTCTCCCCCCAATCTAATCATTCATCGTTGTGTAAGGGTGTGCCAAAGGCTGGACTCATTTTGCCCCCCGCCTTCCCCCCCCCCCCCCCTCCCCCTCTGCACCAATCCCACAACCGTTTTCTCGCCAGTCGCCGTCCATTTTAGTGCCAGTCAGTCATAACACAGGGCGACCGGTGCGCCACCGCCCCCCCCCCCCCCCCCACACACACATACACGGAGGCCCTTATCCCACCTCCCGGCTCTCATCGATGAAGCGCACAAAAAACGCCACGTCCATGTACGGCGAGATCAGCGGGCGGTGACCGGGACTCGAACGCAACGGCGACGGAACCACTTCACAGGAGGGGGCGGCGAGACGGACCTCAGCGTCTGCCAGACCCGGAGGGGGGGGGGGGGGGGGTCTGGGGACCGACGGGCGGCCTGCTGAGGATCAAGCACGCACATATGAACGACACACGCACGCACACACCCACGCCGGCACAGGGACAGCACCAGAACGGCAGCGGTCAGACCAGCGGCGAGGTCGAGCTGGCCACGCTCGGCGGCCGTCACTCACCGGCGCCGAAGGGCGGCCGGGCCAGCAGGAACTGCTGCGGCTGCGGCTGCGCCATCAGCTGCGGCATCTGCTGCATGGGCGGCATGGCCAGCGAGTAGCCGGGCCGCAGCAGCTGCGGCATCTGGCGGCGCACGGCGGCGGCCGACCGTCAGACGGTCCGCGTCTCTCTCGGACGGCCCAGGGCGGCTCGGAGACCACGGGTGACCGCATGGCAATCCGTGTAGCTCACTCGTGAACCGACACTAAACAAAACATACGCGACGTACGTCGTCGCGCGCCCTTTTATGGTACAAAGCCGACCGCACGTCCATCCCCCCCCCTTCCACCCCCCTCCCCCTTGCGACCTCGCGCATGATCTGAGTGTCACAATGTGTCGACGGCATTCGCCGGCGTGGCCTCTGGCTAGTGCCGGCGCCGCCCGCGGCCTACCTGCATGGGCATGGGCGAGGCCTGGCTGACGAAGAGACGCGGCTGCCCGGCGGCGCCCATCAACGACGCCAGCGACATGACCGGCTGCGGCGCCATCTGCGCCTGCGCCGCCGCCGCCGCCGCCGCCGCGCGCACCTGCTGCTGGTACTTGGCCAGTTGGCTGCGCCGCTCCTCCTGCAACAGCGGCGCCCGGTCAGCGATCGACCGGCGCCCGCCGGTCGTGCAGCGCACGGGCGGCGGAGGGCCGCCGCACGGACGGACGCGGTCCGCCCGCGGCAGCCGGCGAGGCCGAGACAGCGTCTCCCGCCCGCCACCCGGCAACTCGGCCGGGCGCTAGCTAGACAAGCCGGACGCAGTCTCGGGCCGGGCATTTAGAGAAAAATCCACGTCGGAGTGTCCTGCCACCGAGTGCTGCCAGCCACACCGCCAGTGAGCCGCGAGTGACAGAGCCGGCCAGCCGCTGGCCACACGCCACACGTCCGGACAGTCGGCCCGGCCGAGCATCAGGCAGCACGGAGCCGGGCGGCCGGGACGGCGCGCAGCCGGCAGCCGCTCCGCTACACAACCGGGCAGCCCTGCAACCGACAGCCGGCCAGCCCGAAAGCCTTGCGCGGGACAGCCAGACACCCCTGAAGCCGGAGAGCACAGGCCAGCCGGACCTCACTACTGCCGGGGAGACGCGGCCGGCGCCACATGCAGAGCTGGGAAAGCCGGCCGGCCGGCCCGCTGGCTGGCCGGACCGGGCCGGGCGGGCACTAGACACGCTGGCGCCAATCCGGACGCGGGACACCACACGGCCGGCGGCGGGCGCGCGGGCATGCGTCGCGCCCGCCGCCGGCAGACCACTACGCACACGTGAGCGGCACACGGCAGCCGGTGGCCGAAGCAGCGGGGCGGCGCCGCCACACGCACGGCGGCGCCGCTCAAAGCCGGGCGCGGCCGGCGCGCGCGTGCGGGCCGCGCCGCCGCCCGTTAGTAAGCTACTCAGGCGGCGCGGGGGGCACAGAGAGGGCGCCGCTGGGGCGCCGGCGCCGCGTCCGCGCGCACGCGCGCGCACAGCTCGCTCTGAAAACAGACGGACATTAACGCTGGACGATGTGGTCGTGGCGGGCGGACGGGCGGGCGGACGCGAACGCTGTGGGCGCGTGCGCTCGCTGTCCGTGTCAGACACGGCAGTGCCGGCTCCCGTCCTCGCGGACGTGACTGAGAGGCAGGCGCGGACGGGGTGCGCTCCGCACCAGCAGCACGTGCGCTGGAAGCAGGCCTGTGGCCGCTCAACGCCCCTATCCAAATGGGGGACACTACGCCTGAAGAAGCGCTCATCCGATCCCTCACCCCACCCCCAACCCAAGTGCGGAGCGGACACACGTCCCTTACTCTAGCGGAAGATTACTGTGCTTTTCACCCACCATCCTGACACCCCTTTGTGGGACGGGCACCGCTCGTCACCAACACCAAACCGGCTATCTGCTCCCCCATGTGCAAACGCCACCGACTGATCCCAGACAACGATGCGGAATTTTTAGCCCAGCTACGAGACATCGGAATGCGAAATCGGCGAAGTGAGTTCCTCCCACGCCGGTTGATTGGCGCCCGAAGCTTAAGGGCGCATCGGCAGCGCGCTCAAAAAGCCAGAGCACCCGCCCCGCTGTATGGCAGGGCGTGAGAACTGCCCAGCCCAGATCGGAGACTGTGACGCACCGGGAGAGATTCTGCGGGTCGGCGTCGTCCCCGGCCGCGGTCTGCACAGGAGCTGCCAGGCAGCGACCGGCGGACAGTGTAACCCCGCAGGCAGCCACCCTGCACACTCCGCCCACGATTCAAAACAGACACCTCGCTGTGGGCGGCACCGTGACCAGCGCGCGCCGGCGAGCGAGTCCCAGCGCCGACACCGGCAGACAGCTGCCGTTCCCGGCGGAGCAGCTGGGGCGCCACACACGCTGGTGGTGACCATCCCCACACCACCACACCGGGTGCACCCCAACCCTCATCTCCGCCTCCCCTCGGCACCGGCCGCGTCGCCGTATGGCTCACCTCGGCGGCCAGGGCGGCGGTGGCGTTGGCGGCGGCGGCGGCGTTGGCGGCGTTTGCGGCCGCGGCGGCGGCAGCGGCGGCAGCGGCGGCTGCCACGCCTGGCGAGGCTGCCGGTCGCGGTCGGTACCGCTGGTAGCGCGGCAGCCGCAGTCGGCTCTCCTCCTGCGGCCGGACGGCGGATCACGGTCACGGTCACGGTCACGGTCACGATCACGATCACGGTCACGGTTACGGCCACAGTCACGGCCAGAGCCAGTCGTGGTCAGGTCGAGGTCGTCCCACAGCATGCACATGCTACATGACACGGCTAAGTTAAGGTCAGCGCAGTTCAGGCCGAAGCAGGCAATGACAAGATCAAGTTCCAGTCCCGTTTGACGCCGGGTCAAGGTTAAACCACGGCCAAGGTCATCCCATATGCTGTACAGCGCGCACCGCATGTTAGCACAAGGCCACGCCAGGCCATGCTGCACTGTGAGGTCCGAGTGTGTTCGACTCACCAGCGAAATATCCTCGTCCGGGTGCACAATGCGGCTAGTGGCGCCGGCCGCCTGCTGGATCAGCGCCGGACGCGCGCCGCCTGACGAGCTGGACGTGGTGGCGCCACCCGCCTTGGACGAAGCGGCGCCCGCCTGGCTGCGGACGAGCGGGCGGCGGTGTCAGCCAACGGCGACGAGCGCGCAGCCCGGCCTGGCTGGGACAGCGGGCCGGACGGCGCGCCCCTGCGGCCGGCTAGCATGCAAACTACGGCGATCTACACCCATAGCACCGCGAGAAGGTGGGACACATCGGCCACCCGCGTTAGAAAGCCACGATGCTGCACTTACCGGCGACAGCGCAAGCGCGACATTGAATCAGCCCACAAACTTCAATCGGTACCACCGCGCGTGGACGTCTCCCGCGCTGGCGAAAGTTTCCTGCGATGGGAACCGAACCGCAAACCTACCTGTACGCCGGGAAGGTGGAGCGCGACGCGGCGGTGCTGCTCAGCGGCGTCGGCGACGAGCCCTGTCGACAACGGCTCTGGTCACGCTCAACGCCGTCCGTCGGGCGTAAAGCCGAGCCGCGCCCCCGCGACTCCCGAGACCCCCTCAGAGATCATCACACAAGTCACGCCGTGCTCCCCCGCACGCCGGTCGGCTCCCACTCGCCGCCGGAGCCAGGCGGCGGGCAGCCGGCAGCAGCCCAGGCAGCTGACTTCACAGCGGGAGGGTGGCGACACGCCGCAACTGCAGCTGAACCACAGCACCTCACAGTGTCATCGCAACGGCGCCGAGCCGGCTCCGTCTCTCCTCACTCCTCTCGCGACGACTAGACGTGGGTCCGACGCCGGCCGCGCGGCCACGGACCCTCTCCCGCCCAGCATCCTGCTCCGTGCCACACTCCGCCACCAGTCGCTGCCGCACCCACAGCTGCGACGGCCACCCGGGCCGCACGCCGCCGACGCTAATGTCGACTCGCACGGCACGGCACGGCATGGCACGGAGCCGTCGGCGTGCTGACGACAGCCCGGCCGCCTGCGAGCGGACGCCGACCGAAATAGCCGGGCGCCGGCGCCACCGGGACACGCTTCCGCTACCGCTGGCTGCCGCCGCGCGGAACCCGGTGTCAAGAGCGGCGTCCAGAGGCGCCGCGGTATCGCCGGCGGCTCTCGCGGCCGGCCAGACGGGCGCCGGCGCCACCGAGACACGCTTCCGCTGCCGCTGGCTGCCGCTGCGCGGGACCCGGTGTCAAGAGCGGCGTCCAGGGGCGCCGCGGTACGCCGGCGGCTCTCGCGGCCGGCCAGACGGGCGCCGGCGCGTCACAACTTCGATCGGAGAGCGCGCGGCGCCTCTTCGGATTCGGGCGTCGGCCGACACTCCGCAACCTGGCCCAGCACGACGGCAGCAAAGGACACAGAGCGGGCCACACAGAGGACAGAAGCATGGAAGGCAAGCACTTCACTCCTACCCGAGCAGCGATGTGACGTCGGTGTGGGTGGCCGGGCCCTTGTGAGCGGCAAAGCACCGGGGTTTCTTATCACGGTCGCACTGCGAGCTAATGAAGACGGCTACGGAATAATACGTGAAAGCGACTAAGGGTTGGTACGTAACACAAATATCGTAACGATATGTTTCGAGCGTTGTTAACGTGAAATCTTCCTTCAGGCGGCCAAAATGTAGTGGTAAAAGGCACAGACTGGGTGCTCCAAAAAAACAAACACCAAACGCTGCGCAGGAACCAGACACGCGCATGCATCTCAAACACAAAAGTGCTATCATCCAAGAAACGGACGGTGCAGCGGAAACCAGTCCTCCTAGTGCTGACCAGCCGCCGCCGCATGCATTGTCACAAACGGGCGCGGGCTCAACACGAAAACGAACGGCGTGCGGCGCCTCCACCGACACGGCGGCGGCCGCGCGGCCCAAGAGACCGTCACATCGAGCGTGGGTACCTGGTGCACCGGGCCCCACCCCCACAGGCGGCGGGGCGGAGAGCCGGGCCGGCCGCGACGTCACACACACACGCTACGCTGCCCGCAGCCGCCTGCCAGACAGACACACGGCCGACGGTGACGGCGGGGTCACGCGGCGGGGTCACGCGGCGCGGCGCGGCGCGGCGCGGCCGCGGACGGCAGCCGTCGACGGCACGCGGACGTGCTCAGGGGGAGGGGAGTGTTTGCGTCCTGTGGTGGCCGCTCGCCACGCGGAAGATAGTGGCTGGTTGTGGCGCGAATACGGTTGAAGCCGCATTGTGGTATAGATTGAGTTGTGGGGTCAGGACATTGAAACTGGACATCACAACTTACATAACATTGATAAGAGCCAACTGACGGCCGTCTACCTGGAAATCGTGCTCACGAACGCCCGACATGGCCGACTCGACAACTGTATTTGCTGGGTCTTGATCGCCACATGGCTTATGTAACGGCTGGATTTGAATACGTTGCTGTGACGTCACGGATGCCAGGGCAACCTTGAAAAAGTCTGCACAGCTTGGCAGGCGTCTAACTCAGAAACTGGAGGGGTTGAGGTCTTAAGAAAGGCAGGGCTGTGAACTACGCCGAATAATCTTTGAAATGGCCCTTTCGGTTCAAAATTCCACACAAATGTGGAACACTCCCTTCAGTAGCTCGATTCGAGCTAAAAATGTATCAACCTTGATAAATCAGTAATGTTAATTTCTTCAAACCGGGGGGAGCGGTGTCATTGCCTACCGTCAACGGCTCACGGGAGGGGGGGGGGGAGGGGGGCAGCTCAACCTGTCAGCAATGACTCTAGATAAACATTGCGACGTAGCTGCTGTCAGCACACAATAAAGTCATGATTTCAATACACTCTCCTCGCCTTGTGAGATAATAGCACAAGCCTCCTCACACACCTATGTCACGGGATTTTATCAAAAAGGAGGCCAAGGACAAGTTCAGTATAAAACCATAATGCAACGATATCCTGGACCAAGAACTCCACAATGCTTCTCGTCCTCGTGGACAGCTCCAGTCGCGCCACCGGTCATCAGGCATTCACCAGCTATTTGCACGGGGGCCAACCAACCCACAGGCCCCGAAACATCCAACCCACCCCTCCGTGCAGACCTCCCCAGCCCCGGTCACTAATGCTTCACCGCGCCCTTCCACGAGCGAACGCTCTCCGCCCGGCCAGCGCCAGCAGGCTCCAGCCCGGGGCGTCACCGACCCGTCCCGCCTGACGGCGCGCCGCCTCGCCCGCACCTCCCAGAGCAGAGCACAGCCCACCCCAACTCTGCGCCGCGGCGAGGCGCCTCGGGCGTCGCCAGCCACTGACCTGCGCCGACGGGAAGAGGGGCCGGCCGGCGGTGTGCGTCATGCCCAGCGGCATGCCCGACATCGGGCCGAGCGCGCCCATCGGGCCCATCATGCTGTCGGCGGCGGCGCGAGAGCACAAGGTCACCCCACACACCGAGGCGGCCATAAGCGTAAGTGTAGGCAGATGGCAGTGCAGCCAATGCTGACAGCTGGCAGCTGTTCCGAACACGACACAGGACGGCACAACGCCCGACGAAACAGTGCACCGGGCCTGGGTCATTGGTTTGACAAGCATCACAAACACACCTGCTCGAGCGCCAGACCCGGTCGGACCATGCACGCCCACACGGCAGGTGGCAGATGACAACAGCCGACATAGCCGTACAGTGCCGACAGAGCACCATGAGCTCGCTGCTGTAACACCCGACAGGAGATCCGTCCCGTACACTGACCCGGGCAGCATGTAGGGCGCCATGGGGCCGATCTGCGCCACCTGGCCGAGGCCGGCCGCGCCGGGCAAGCCGGGCAGCGCCGGCAGGCCGGGCAGCGCCGGCAGACCGCCGGCGAACCCGGCCGGGCTGGGCGACACGGGCGTGGACGGCTTGCTGCCCGGCTGCGGCGCGTCCGGGCTGGCCGCCGGCTCGCCTGGCGGCGCGGGCAGCCGGTGAGGGGGCGGCGCCGGGACCTGGTCACGCGACCGGGCACATAGGTGGCGACTGGAGCTGGTGAGGCTCGCAGCAGATGAAGAGCCGAGAGCCGCAAGGTAACAACCCTGCGCACTTGATATTTAAAATGAGCAGAACAGACCACCGCCTGTGCCCACTGATGATCAAAACCACATGTTATTGTACCAGCAGCAGCATTCATCACAGACAGAACTCTGCCAAGTGAGGCCATGATGGTGCTTCAACAACTCTGAATCAACGTGACAGCAAAGCAAACACCGCATTCCATATCATACACACTACTGCAGCTCCTACACCATGCATATGCCAGAAATTACCAAGTCACCGAAGCTATGCAGCCAAAGAGCCAAATGTTAGCACCCAGATCGCGAACATACCATCTGAGTCCGCCTGCCCAGACTTGTTGTTTTGTTCATGGGCCTTGAGGTCATCTTCAGGGATGCCCTCCATGCCATATATCTCGATCTCAATGTTGTTCCGGTTGGGTACAGCATTGGGCACCTTGTCAACCGTCTCCTTGTGCACCTAGGGGGTGGTCGGCGAGGGTAATATAAGCTGCAGTCAGCGCACCTTGCCAAACAGTCAACAAGCTACTAAACACATGCACACAACCATTGCATTAAGTCAGGATGACAAAATGCAAGCATGAAATGTTGCAGGGGAAATAATTACAATCACCAGAAATCTGTGAGCTTTGCTGCAAGCCGTGGTGCATATCACCTACCTGCATACAGTGAATAGACAGGCCTGGACCTGTGTAAAGCTTCTTGTGGCAGATATGGCACTTGAAATGCTTTGCCTTCTGGTGCTGGATCAGAATCTTCTCATCATCAAACTCCCGATTGCAGTACCTGCAATGGCTGGTCAAGGACTTAACAAGCATTTGCACTACAAAGACAGGATCTAACGGCCTAAATGACAATGGGAATGCACCATGCACATGGTGCATGCATGGTTCTGTAGCGAAATCAAGACTTAATGGAAACATGGCACTGAGTAAGGCATATTCTTTCCATTCCTTTCTGTTGGTGATCAGATCAGGTAGGACATTCAAAATTGCAGTTGGGGTACAATAAAGCACATATGTGGATACACAGACACCAGCCAATGTAATGAAATACTTGATGTACTAAAAGCTATCACAATTCCTCAAAATATGTCTTTTGCATCTCTATGAGTTGACAGCCTCATCAAATTCTGAGCTATCAGGTTTATTTTATCCACTGAAATTGCTGCTGGAATGTTGCTGTTTGGACTGACATGTTCAGCAAGCATGTATTTTTGCAGTCTGACCTGAAAAAATACACTTTAAATGAATGAAAGTAATTTAATTCTAATTGGATCAGCAAAATATGAAAAGGCACGACATTCTGAACCACCTTTCATCATGCCCAGTTCTGCAAGTGAAGAGGATTTACAAGGACAATTATGTATAATGTTTGACATGACCTGTACACTTGTGCTTCAGCAAACCATGCCTTATTTTCTCAAGCTATTACATAGTACATGCTACACCCTGCAATGATCAGTGCTGGAACAGATGCCACTCATAATTTTGGTGATGACACTCCAGATCAAGTGCAAAGTGCAGTCAAGATGTTTGTGTCAGTGCTGGGACAGATGCCACTCATAATTTTGGTGATGACACCAGATAAAGCGTGAAGTGCAGTCACAATGTTTGTGGATAACGTTAAGATATACTGCCATGTCCTGAGGCCCCTGACTGACCCTCCTCTGAAGGCTGATGTCAATGCCCAGACCAGGTGGCCACAGAAGTGGCAGCTCCCCTTTCATATCACAAAGTGCAGTCAGGCACATCAGGAACTATAGTCAGACTATCTCAATGGTGGTCATGAGGTGACAGCAGATTATCATGAAGGCCAACCAGATGCTGGCAGTCATGAGGGGTCATTTGCCAATATTGATGCTGACATGCTCACATGGCTGGAGCAGATTCAGTGCCAAACAATGCATCTTGTTCAAGTGAGGCACCAGTCATACCCTGAGAGGCTCAAACTCCTCCAGTTTCCCTCCAAGTAGCTATGGTTGCCATAGGGGGACATGGTTACAGTGCATCAACTGCTTCACAGAGGCATGCCACTGTCAGAGGATGAGTTCCTGACCAGACACAATACAGAGGTGACAAGAGGACACCAATGAAAGCTAAGAAAACCTCCAGCTATGACTATCATCCATCATAACCCATTCAGCAACCCACAACCTTTTCTTGCTACCATAACTGAGAGCTTCATCCCAAGCTCAGCTGACTTATTAAAATACTCAGCCAACTAGCCTACCAGTCTTCAAGTAGCTGTCTTTTCAATCTGGCATAATAACACCTCATACTTCTGTGGCAAAAGAATAAGATGACACAATGCAGCTGGTTTCCATTACTAGCTGACATACTGTGAACTAAAGAAGTACCTGTCTTTAGTCTTACAAACATTGCCTTATGCTGACTGACAATGCGAGGAGACATTAAAGCTGACAAGAGGCTTTCTAATCTGACCCATTCTTGTCATCTAATCTAACTTTTGTAGCTACAGTAAAAATCAGAAGTGTCCGCACAGTACACAGGATATATCCTTCTCTTTCCCTGAAAATGGGCAAAGGCATTCCATCAACATTAGGCATGTGTGGCGAGCCAGAACAACTGCAGACCTATGACCACCAACACTGTGTTCAGTACTTTGCACCTGCCAGGCCATTTTCTGATGGTTGGCACAGAATGGTGCTGGTGGGGAAGGGGGATGAGTCTCACTACAGGTCCAACAAAGATAACAAGGCTCAGCCATCTTCTACCCCTCAGGAATTCATTATAAAGTTACCTATCAACATCAACAGCATTCAAGGCTTCAAAATTACACACCGCAGACCACATCTTTTAAAGGATACCAGCACCAGGGCTTTTGTTGCTTCTTCTTTTTCCGACCCATGCTATTAAATACTCCTGATGACTGGGAGCTTGAGGTCTTCACAAACTACGCTTGGCACCAACTTGGCATGAGCCAACCAACATCTAGTTGCGAGTTTAGTGGGTTATATAAGATCACCCAATCGACAACACCCGTCCATTAACCGTATATCACCAACCACAGACTTCTGAAACCACCAAGGACAAATAAACTCAAGGATTGCCCCAGGGCCTCACTGCCACCCAATGAAAAACGGGATCATGGCGTCGGGCGACAGTGCGCATGCGTAGAGAAAAACTTCCCGGATGCTGAATAGAGAACCCAGTTTTGATTGATCCTCCCACATTCAAAACCCCTTTAATCCAAAAATCAAGCGTAACGATAGGAGATAATTTCAACCAGAACTCATTTTTATCAAAATAAAGTGACAAAGTAAAAAAGCAATTAGAAGTTGATATTATACAAATCTGCTTTTCCAGTTCGTCACTACAATTGTCTCATAAGAGCTGGTGCGCCACTTTGAGGCAAGCGCCTGCAAACTCTCCGTTAATGGCATATATTGAAACGTTGGTAGAGTTAAGCATGACCGCCTGAAAATACACCATGAGCGTGGTGCAAACAATGTCTAACTACCACCTACCACACTACGGTGGGATTACGGACCACGCGCGGGTACGAAGTCATACACGGTCCTATCTGTCAAATAGATCTGTAGAATCATCGCTGGCTCTCAAACTGGGAGATGTCAATTACATGAGGGAATATTCGCAAAAGGGGCTGGGAGAAGGGGCTGAGCAGCTTAAAAATGGCTTAATCTACCCCAGAAAACCATGGGCGCAAGAACAGGGAGGGGGGGGGGGGCAGGGGCCATGGCCACCCACTTTTCAAGGAGGGAGGGGGGCCAGCAGTGTTAACCGCCCCCCCCCCCGCCTACTTTTCAGATTAAGGCTTTGTTTAGGTTGCTTTTGCACCACATTTAAATATACATGCCGATTTACCTAGTTCACCAGCCATCTTCCCCAAGATGCGTCATCTTTTTCGTTGCTTGTTGGTCATCGCTTAGTGTCACAGCCGCAGGCCGGCACCACTCGTCCTATGAAGACTGCAACGCCGGGCGTTCAGGCCGTTGTTGCTATGACTTGCGAGCGCGTATGTTCAAAACCATATAAGTGCCCTTGGTGTTCTACTCAAGGGGCCTCTTGCCCGGAAGGAAATAAGGGGCCTCACTATTGTTCAGTGGAGCTGAGGTCTCATTACTATTGAACAGAATAGGTCAAAATGATTTTTATTTTTAAAAACGAACAAGGCTCTCCCATGTTTGCCTTAGAACGCTCATTTTTCAGAATGTCTTATGAAAAAAGTGCATCAAAAGGTTTGAATATGCCCACCCGCAACCTCGAGAGAAAGGACAGCGATGGTCTGGGTTGCAGCTTCCGTAAAACCGAACGACGTCGGCCACTGCAAGTGCCACCAGACGACGGGCGCCGTGTTAATCTGCCTTCTGGACAGGTTAATAGGTACAGAAACACGAAAAATAGAAAATCTTCCTTCATTCTTCCAGTTCTACCGCCAGATTCCAAGACCACTTCGCGGTGCTTCAAGGGCCAATCTGTTCTTATCATCAGTCTAAAAATCGAACACGTGAAATATCCGCCCAGACAGCCTTGTACATGTAAGATCAGATATTCTGAAGCGTTCAAAGGTACTTCTTTCACAAGCGTCATCATTTTTGTCCACTCGTTGGCCACGGCTCAATACTAGCTGTTGAGCCGACGCTATGCGGCCTACGGAGACTGCAACGCCTGGCGGCGAAGTTTTTGTTGCGAAGATTTGCGAGCACGCATATTAAAAACCGCGTGGCATAAATTGTATCACTAATCGATTTTAATTGAATGTTTAACATATCCAGACAAACATGGCTTGGCGATGTTAATACACATTGTTGACCACTCGATCTACAACAGAAATTTTCACCCTCAAATTTCGATCAAACATATCGACCTACAATCTACCTTAGCGATGTCCTCAATGTCTGTAGAACGCAGGTAAAACATTATGAAAAAGCTTCTGAATTCTATCGGTTTCGAAAGAGTCCATTAAGCCATTGTAAATTAAGGACACCGGTGGCTTATTCCATGTGGTCGTTAAACGCCTGATTTCTGCAGTTTATTGGCCTTAACAGGTTTTCGGGTGGGGGTCAAAATGATTCACCACCCAAAGTTTTCTCCGCAATGGTTTCCGAACGGCGCGGTGGAGCCGCGCTATATTTTGCATAGCTGCAGACAAGTGAATAGCTGATGGTTTGCCACAAAAAAATTAGATGTACTTTGTAAGGTCGCTGACCTATGGCAGGACAAAGTCCGGCCACGTTTTCGGCGAAGTCAAATTCTAGGGAATCGTTCAATCTGATGCAACAATGGAGTGTTAGATGACGCCATACATCTCTGAGATGCTTCCTTGGGCAACACAATTATTGAATGAGCAAATTACGTTGACCTAAGGTCAGATATAAAAGTCAGACCAAGCCCACAACTAACCTGTTACATTACTCTAGGGCTTGCTGCATGGGATAGTTTCCGGTGCTCCTTTCGAATTTATTGATAGCAAGAACCGTATTACACATATTCCATAGACTTCTTAGAGGTCAGAATAGATCCTTGGCCTAAGATGATGTCGGTCAACATTTTGCTTTTAGAAACCTACTGGTTAGCGTAATCTTTCTCGCTTATTCAGATGCAAAACTCAAAGCATTCTTATATGATTTTGGTCACCATGACCTTCAAGAGGTCAAGCAAGGTCAATGACGTTAAATGAGCATGTGATGTTTTGCTTAGAAACAGTGATCTAGGTTCGGGGGCACTGTATAGACCAACCTATAATTTGACCTTGTTCGACCTTATTTGACCCGAAAGTCATGACCAAGGAACCTCAAACTTTGACCTAAGTGGGTTCACACCCTGTGAATTTGGTGTATCTAGCTCTCTTAGTTCCCGAGATCTCAGGGGGTCGAATTGACCCCTCACCCGAGCGAAGGGTATCTAGCCGGCCACCCGGGCGCGTGTAAAAAAATGTAGACGCAATCGATTGCACGGTAGCTTCTGGTTTCTGTTTTGGTTACAACGTAGAAATAACGATGAAACGAAGAAAACTGCAGCCCTTGTTAACAAGTAAACCAAATCTGGGGATGTTTTTGTGGGGGGTCACCATAAATGTTTTTTTGTTAACCCTGTGTTCCTCTTGGCAAGGCTCTGGCTAACCCCTGCCTTCATACAAAAACAGATCAAGTCATATTCGTTGAATGACGGGCAATAAAATGTCCGTTGGGCCAATGCATACCTAAAGTGGGCAGCTTCCCGGCGGCACTTTTCTGGGGTAGTGTGGTGTAAGGGAAGATAATTCGGAAAAAGGTACTGCTGCAGGTGTCCAATACATGCTTTACATCCCAATTAATAGCAATGCTGATTAAGAAAGGTGCAACCAAGCAGCCATACCATCAGATCGCGGTCAGTCGTTTGGAGACAGCAGGGCCAGGGGAGTGGCCACCGACGGCGGACGGGAGCAGAGCTCAGGCAAGGAACATTTGACAGAAGGGCCGTCATTCTATGGCTTGGTTTTCAAAGGAGAATCTGCAGTTTTACGGCTTTCGTCACACGGTTTTTCGCAGTTTCAAGCTACCGAATTTGTTTCCGCCTAAAATGTCGCGACATATCTTATCTCTGGAAAACCAGCCAGCAAAATGAAGGTGCATGCAAAACCTGTTGTAATGTGAGCCATCGATTCACGTTCAAATTTCTCGCCAGCCTATGCTCGGGCCATATTTTGGCCTATACCCTGTGGAGATAGATGCCCACTCAATGACCTAAAATGCCTTCCCGCTCGTGGAATTTCGGCTCCCCAGGAAAGACAATGTTGAAATGGACGAACAATCTTGGCAAGCTGAATAGCCTTATTTTCCGAATGACAAAGATGAACAGGACAAGCAAAAGTGTGCACCAGAGGGAAAGTGCACTAGCGCACCAATGGGTACCAATGCACCAATGTGCACCACTGAAAAACAGCTCCGGATGCATATCTGGAATCAGTCATTACATTTGAATAAAGAGCGATAACCTCCATCTCTACCCCTCCCTCCCCCGTTCATTAGGCTTGTTTTCAGGAAAACATTCCTGAAGTACGCCCTGAGCTTGGCCCCTACTTTTTGAAACGTTCCTAAGCCTATGCAGAAAACACCAACAATTGGAATCGGACCCATTTGGACATGCCCACGTCAGTACCAACTGGGCTGCTCAAGTGAACCCCATGTTGGTTCCAATTTGGCCCCAGGCGGACTGCCCATGTGGGACCCAGTTAGTCGCCCATGATGTGCCCACATGGGCTAGAGTGAGCAGCCCAGATGGCTCTCATGTGGCTATCCATCTTTGACCCACATGGGTCTCAGTTGGACATGCTGGCTGGGCCCACTCCTCAATGGCGCACAATGCCTACCCTCTCGTAGAATTCAAGATCGCCTCCCAAGGAAAATCAATGTTGAAATGAACGAATGATCTTAAGAAGCAGGATACTTATAGTTGTTAAATTGCAACAACAGCAACCGCGCGGCGTTTAATCATTTGCAAAATGCGTTACGTGGATAATGAGCGGAAAATGTCCTCCGTCTCTGCGCCCTCCCTTTCCGACCACCGGGCTTGCTCACCAGAGAAAGTTCATTCAGTATGCCCTGAGCCTGACACCTCACTTTTTGAAACATTCCTACGCCCTCATTGGCAGATTGTAGTTTATACTGTTTGAACCACGGCAGTAGTAGTTTATACTGTTTGCACCACGACCGTAATGTATTTTAAGGTCCTCATGTTTAACAAACACAATATTTCAACATATTCCCGCTCGCAGGGCCGCGTGATTTGTGTGGTAGGTCGTGGGCAAGCCAAATTTTTGGGACGTCTGTGGAGGGTAGGAGGGCCGTTCAATTTTGTGTCCCTTTTACACCACTACAACAGCGTTCACCACTGTTGTGCAGGTCTTGGTGTGGCAGTCATGTGGTAGCAGGTCGGCGGCGCGGCTTCTATGTGGTGGTAAACGGTGGTACGTTTCCGCATGTCTACTAACAACAGTCCAACAATTTAAGTCATTTCAACCATTGGTTCATATAAATGGTCTGGTGCTGGTCAGATTCCTACTCCCATTCTATTTGTGTGTCATTCTATTTTTAGCTTGTTCTCTGTGAATGGTGCACTTTCCTCATCGCAGGTGTGCAGGATGTGTAATCTGGTGGTCCATGAGGCATGTTGTGCATGTTGGATGTTTTCAACCCTGCCCCCCACAAAATGTAAGACATATGCTGGCCAAGAACCTGTTATTATCTGATCATGCTGTTCCAGCATTTTTGAGGCATCAGCCTTATTTGCAACCTCACCTGACTAGAGCATTATGTGTGTATGTGTTCGGGGCAGGGTTCTGTCAGCCCCAACATCTCATTGGCATTTCTGCAGTTGTTATAGGCTAGTTCAGGATGATGCAAATAATAGTATGAAAAACTCAAGTCCTTCTGGTATGACATCTTTGGAGGAGTCCCACAGGGCTTATTTCTTGGTTAATGTGTTTTAATTGATAATATCATTGGCAATTGCCTCAACATTATTTTTAAATGGACAAAGATATTATAAATATGTTCCAGACAATGAAATTCAAACTGATTAAAACCTGCTACAGATGGATTTCAACAAGCTTATTGAATGTTGCGCCAATGAGCAGGTTTAACAAAGTTGTGTTATTTTGCAGATTATCCATCAATTGCTAGTAACCTGGTCTATTACTGCAAGATCTCTGCCCCAAGATGACAGACTATGCGGCAAAGCTGCTCAATGAGCTGATGGGACGAAGCAGGAACCTGATGCCCAATGAACAGGAAAAGAAGCTAACATGGGACTCACCAGAGGTAATGCTGCTCATTACTTCAGTGGGTTTGAGATTTGCAGACCTGGGATTCTCCAGAGATAATGCTGCTCATGACTTCAGTGAGTTTGAGATTTGCAGACCTGGGATTCTCCAGAGATAATGCTGCTCATGACTTCAATGGGTTTTAGATCTGTAGATATGGGATTCTCCAGAGGTAATGCTGCTCATGACTTCAGTGGGTTTGAGGTCTGCAAAGCATTCTTTTAAGTTTGAAAGAGAACTCATTGTGATACATTTACCCATGCTTACGGGTGTATGTCCGAGATAATCATGGGCAAACTGGCAGTTCAAACTGCATTGCACCTGTGTGTGGATGCTATAGCTTAGTGGTGGACTGATACACAGGCCTTGAGAGCAGTGTGGTGTGTTGAAGGCAATTGGGATCTTCAAAGCATAGAAATTGTCATGTGTGTGAGAGTGGCATTTAGTATGCCTGCCTTACTTTATTGTTCATTTGTTATTGTTAAGGTCATTGATAGGCCCATAACTTAATTTGCTGAAGATATTTTGTGTGCTGGTGATGAATGCATTTTGCCCAAAAGCAGTGGTATTTGCTGTGCCAGAACACATACCTCTATGTGCATTGATATGAATGTAACTGAATGATGTGTTGTGATGCCTCCTAAAACATAAGTTCAACATTCCTCAAATGTGAACACTCCCCTCTAACCAGCATGCTGTCAACAGATGTGTCATCTGTTCCTGGCCAAGATCTGTCCACATGAGCTGTTCACCAACACAAAGGCTGACCTGGGTTCATGCGGTGGCATTCACGATGACGATGTGAAGGTGGAGTTTGACAAGCTCCCCAGCTTCAAACGGCAGGCCTACGAGGATGAATTCATCCGCTTCTGTCAGGTCAGGTTTAGGAATGGTGCAGGAGGGAAGGGTGTTTGGGGACTGGTGGTGTGACTCCTCACCCTCTTGTCTCACCCACAGAGCAGAGCTGTGGTGTTCCTTGGTTTGCCACTTCTGTTAAGCTCAGTAAGGTGTGCTTTCGAATCCTGGTTGTGTCATTGGGCGCTGATGCGGCCGGGCCGTCGCGTTCGTGGTCGTTCCATAAAGGGCTCTGGATGTTTCTCACCTTGTTGCATCTTGTTTAAAAAAGACAAAATGTTAGGAACCAACAAACCTTTGTACATTAAACAATGGCATGCATAACTTTAGATATAAATTACGGTGGTCATTGGTAAGATCTGAAATAGAGCATCAGTTAAAAGCAATCAGTTGGAGGAGTAATGCTGATGACGCTTGAGGCGCTGCAAGACCCACAGCAGTCGATGCGCCCCAAAACTAATCATCCAAATCAACCAAATCATCATGTTTGAAACCTTACTTTCATGCTTTGACCAGTTCCTTGCATGGTAATACAGGTCATTTAATGAGTCGAAACCATGGCAAGCCACAAAACATTGCCTAGTTTCCAGACCCAGTAGTTTCTAACTAAACGACTTCTGTACAGTCGATGCTGAATGAAGTGGAGAAGAAAATCAAGAAGCAGCGACAGCGTCTGGAACTGCAACCCAACGACCACAAGTTGTCATCGCTGGTACCTCCGCAGTTCACGCGTCATGAGGACAAAATCGGCATGCTCACCGACAAGATCAACAAACTCGTCTCCGAAGTGGAGGAGCTCGGCTGCAAGGGACAGGTGCGTGACTGGCGCAGCAGGCTGCTGGGGTCCAGCCTACACTCAGTACTCCGTGGTGTAAGACTACCAATCGCTTCGTGTTTGAATCTACTGCCGGTGCTGTAGTAGGGGACCACATCACGCGTTACGAGTTTCATCTCGTACCGCTGTAACCACATCTCGCCAGCAGCTGTCGATTTTACGAATATTAACTTAGTTTTGTTGCTTGCATGGACAGGTTTTCGACAGAAGCACGTGCTAAGCTGCCCCCGCGGTGGAGATGAAAGATGTCAGACCTGTTATGCAACGTCGTTGTGTGGTCACAGCAGGGCAGCTGGGGTCTCGCCCGGAAGTCTCGGCCTGGTGCCGGCCACCATTTCTGTTAAAAAACGACAGTTGATAAATATTCATAAACTTGAATTTTATGATTGTGAAAAGGAACGCGAAATACCTCGTCCCACGTCCTTTTATGGATCGCCAGTGACTGCATTGCCCATATGAGTGCTGTGGTTATGGTGTAAGTGGGATTCGAACCCGTGATCCCCACGTGTACGTGGAAGATGGTAGCCACTTGGCCACTGCCACCCTGTCTTGAATCCGAACCACGTGACTCAACTGGTGCGCTCTTGATCAATGCAACAACATGGGCCCCAGACCGAGAGTCCCCGCGCGCGCCATTCAAAGGAATCCCATTGAGTTGAGCCTTGCCCTGCACTCTATACGGCCATGCTCCGGCGCATTTCAGGTGGAGGAGGCGCAGGGCATCATGAAGCTCACCGACAAGCTCAAGGACGAGCGGGACCAGCTGCGCCGAGCCAACGAGGGCTCGGTCTGGCACCAGGTGCGCCGCCAGCCCGCCCCACCCCGCCGCCGTCCGACCGCCGGGCGGCCGGCGCCGCGGCGTAACCCTGCGCCGCGGCGTGACCCTGCGCCGCGCCGGCGCCAGCGGATGTGCGGCTCACTGTTGGGGCTGGGCCGCTGCTGCCGGCTATGGTTGCGAGCGAGGGAAGGCGTCGGGCAAGACGACAGACACCGCGGTACCGCTAGATGGTGGCTAGTTGGTCTGTCGATCAGTGCTGTTCCCTCCATGTGCCAGCGTGGTATGTGCAGTGGGTTGTACTGACTGGCTGTCGTGAAGGCATCGAGCGCAGCGCCGCAGGCGCCGGCCATCCAGTCAGCACGTGGCTGTCGTGAAGGCGTCGAGCGAAGCGCCGCAGGCGCCGGCAGCGCGCCCCGTCATGTTTGCCGCGGCCCTCGCGCTGAACCCCGCGCTGCCGCCGTAGACGAGCCGCCGCGGCGCGCCAGCCACGCGCTCCGCGCTGACCCCGTCCTCCCGGTTGTCTCCAGGCGGCCGAGATGGCTGCCTCGCAGGAGAAGCAGATGCAGGTGTGCGAGATATGCGGCTCCTTCCTCATCGTCGGCGACGCCCAGCAGCGCATCGACGACCACCTCACCGGCAAGATGCACATGGGCTACGCCCAGCTGCGCGACGCCATCGACGAGATGCGGGTGGGTTTGGCCGGGGCCCGCCGCCAGCTGCGGAGGCGTTCTCCTGTCGGCGGGGCGAAATCCGCGGCGGCGTAGGCTTGTACGCCTAGAGGGCTGTCACGGGAGGGGGCAGGGGGGGGGGGGGGGGGGGGGGCGTGACGGAAGGTCGTCTGGGGTTTCGTGCGTTGCTCATTTAGTAAACGACGCTCTCATCCTCCCCTACCCCCGCCCCGCCCCGCCAAACACTGCGTGAGACCGGGGAGCACTTGTAATCATCGCCTGGTTAGCCAGAGATGCTTGCCTGTTGGCGTGCCAACTTGAACGCATCTTTGCTATGTGTGGGCGTTAGCTGGTCAGCTGTATGGAACGTTGTGCGATGGTCCATCCAGGTTATTACGGAAGCATAGCTCAGTTGTCTTGTCGTTTCTTTCCCCCTTTCCTTGCTCACTGTACTGCGGTGGTCTCTTCTGTGCTAGCTCTTCCGCGTCATGTCCTCCCACGCGCCGTCTGGTTTGGACCCGTGCCGTCACCTGAGTTTGTCGGCGCGCTGCCAGGTGTCTCGCGAAAAGGAGAAGCACGACCGCGAGGCGAGGCGCGAGCAGGAGCGCGAGGAGCGCCGGCGCCGCGAGGAGGAGGAGCGCCGGAGGCGAGACGGTTCGCGCAACGGCCACCGCGACCGGGACCGCGGCAAGAGCGGGGACAAGGACAGAGACCGGGACAGGGGGAAGAGCCGGGATAAGGATAAGGACCGGGGAAAAAGTCGGGACAAGGATAGGAACAGAGGGGATAGTAGAGATAAAGATAGGGAGCGAGGCAAAAGCCCAGACAAAGAAAGGGACAGGGGTAAAAGCCGGGATAAGGATCGGGATAGGGACCGAGGCAAGAGCAGGGATAAGGATCGGGACAGGGAACGGGAAAAGGAGCGGGACAGAGACCGGAGAAGGGATCGGGACAGAGACCGTAAAAGGGACAGGAGCCGGGATAAAGACAGAGACCGAGACCGCGGACGGGACAAGGAGCGGGAGAGAGACAGCACCAGGGACCGAAGCCGGGACGTGGATCGCACGCGCGATCGGGATCGTGACAGAGACCGCGACAAAGATCGTCTCAGGCACAGGTGAGACGTTCGGGCTCATAGAAGTCATGTTTTGTCGGGGCTGTGCACGTGCGGGTGCGAAAAATGTTTGCCGGAAGTCCCGTCAACAATTGAGTGCGTGGATGGCTAAATGGGGCTATTGGACGTTTGCCGCGCATGGTCGGGCACTGCCGGCACTGTTCATTATTCACTGATCGGTTTTCTGGTGTCGTGTATCGGGCCCAAGGTTTTTAACTTTTGCGATTATTTTCGCTTCGCTATGTTATGTGAGTCAATTTTGGAACGGGTCACGTGCGAGACCCGCCCTCGATTCGACCGCGAAACGCGGGAATTTTGACGTGACTTGAGCGTGATGATGCGGATTGAGCTGGTACGCGAGACGGGGGTGTCTGTGCGGGCCGGCAGGAGCCGGAGCCGGGACCGGCAGCGGAGCCGCGACCGGGAGCGGCGCAGGAGCCGCGACAGGGAGCGGCGCCGGAGCCGCGAGCGGAGCCACCGCTCCTCGCGCCGCTCCCGCACGCGCAGGTGAGGCGGCCCGGCCTGCTGGTCGTGGCGGCGCATTGCGACCTGCCTTTCGAGCCACGGGTTGGGAGACTTGTGCTGTGGGGAAATCGCTTCCAGCGACGAGGGCTTGGGAATTTTTATCATCTAGTTACGCTGTGCAATATAATTTATCTTGTTTTTGTCGTTCGGAAATGGGAGTAGTCCTCGATGGGAAACAAATGACGCTCATTACTAACCTGGCTCGAATTCGATCCAGTAGATCCAAATTTTCTGAAATTGGTGATTTGAATTCATTTTTGATGATACGAAGAGTGCTTACCCACGTGTACATCGAACCTTGGTCCGTCTAGAATTTCCGATATGTACCGCAATAAAACCCTGTAATCGTGGCAGCTTATATCAGAACCTCAAGTATTTCACACCCGTCGTATATTCCATACACACATAGAAGCTTAGAATACACCTTTACGCAGCTTCAGCGTGAGTCCCTGTGCGCCTTCCGGTACCAGACACCGGACTCCAGCAGTAGTGTGCCACCTGACTTGTGCCCATTTTGCCACGATCTCTTCCATCACTGCATTGTCTTGGTGAAAGTGCTCTCCCTGCTGGTCACTGCACATCTCGGCTGTCTCTCAGGCAGAAGAAACAGCATAATTTAGTGAAAGCACCTTGTAAGCTTATAAACAGGCCGACTGCATTAAAATCTCAACATATCTTCTATCATAATTCCTCATGTTAGGTCAGGTTCATGATCTTGCGTGGATTCCATTTGCATGCATGATTTTGACTGATTTTTGACTTGATTGATTTTGTATTTGATGTTATTTTGAATGCATGCACGAATTTGCATGCTTTTTTATTTCATGATCAAAAACTGAAGGTAAGCTTAGCATGTCATTTCCATTATGGAACAGAACGGCACTCAGTCCTGATTCGCTGACATCAATTAAAAATTGCCACTCATCGGCGTCATGCTCCTTTCCCAACGCACCAAGAAGAGCAGGCCTTTAAAACGTGAATCATGTGGGCTAGTAGGGAAAGGACGCCGTAGAGCGGCTGTGCCACCAGCATACTTCGGTGGGTTGGGGTAGGGGGGGGGGGGGGGGGGGGGGGGGGGATTCCACAGATCTGGTCGCAGATGAGACATCCGAAGACGCTACGCTTTCTCTGCTCGGGGCCGTGAACCCGTCACGCTTGTGATGGAGGAGCGATTGAGGTGTGTCCCGTGGGCTCCCTCCGCGCCGTTAGGACCGCAAGTGGCAGACGTACTTTCGTGCGGGCAAACCAGTTGCCGAGCGAATTGGAGCACGTGGCGCAACGTATGTGAGTTGTGTCGGTCGCCTTCTTTTACGCAGAAATAGCGAAATTCACGAACACCGTTTTGGCACGTCTCCGCTGTTTTGAAGTGAAACGACTATGTACATGGTAAATCAGGTCAGCTTACAGTCCCGAGTTCGTCACTCGTCGGCGCGATCACGCGGCTTCGCCCTGACCACCCCGACACACGCCTGTTGTCCCGGCTCGCGTAGTCGGGGCCCCGGCACCGGACGTCCACCGGGAGACCACCTGATTGTCTGTAGGAAGAAGTGCTACCGGAGGACGAACGTTTCTTACTGAAACAACACTTCCAGTTATAACCACAGCTAGCAAATTTGGCGCGAGTTTGGCGCACCTACGAGCTGGAGTGTATAGGTGCATTAGGCAGGTCATGCTATATGGGGTTATGTGTAAAGATGGCGTGTTATTTTCGGAAAACTGAGCCTGCTAGGGCAAAACTGAGCTAAAAAGTAATAGTTGGAATCGGCACAGTGAAACGGGCAGGGAACGCCTAACAAGATATCTGAGCGGTAATCGCTGTTGCGCAGCATAATCGGGACTGAGGTATCTCGGAGCTCGGCGGGCGGGGCCCGTGTCCAGGACTTTGTGTTGATTGATGAACATGTGTGCACTTTCCAGACATTTTGTTTGTTTCGTTCCCAGGCGGCGATTTAATGTGGATTATGCGGTCCGTGTCAAATCGTCCTCACGTTTATTTGATGAGTTCGAGGTTTTTGGCTTCCCTGCATCCTTTTTGGCTTTTATGTGATGAGAACGAACGGTTATATGGACGTGCGCGGCATTTGCTTAATTTCCAGCCATCAGCGTTGGATTCTAAGCATACCCGTTTGTTTTCAGCCGAAGCCCTAGACGCTCCAAAGATAGGCGCGACTCAAAAGGACGGCGAACGTCAAAGGACAGGCGCGACTCCAAGGAGCGCAGAAACTCCAGAGATCAGCGTAGCTCCAAGGACAGACGCGATTCCAAGGACAGACGCGATTCCAAGGACAGACGCGACTCCAAAGACAGACGCGATTCCAAGGACAGACGCGACTCCAAGGACAGACGTGACTCTGACTCTAGGGACAGACGTGACTCTAAGGACGGGCGTGGACTCCAAGGATGGAGACGATTCCAAGAAAAGGCATGGATCCAAGGATCGTGCTGACTCAGAGGAGCGACTCGACTCCAGAGAGGAACAAGACTCAAAGGAAGTCTCAAAGGATGAAGATGTTCCCATGGATCAAGACGGCTTAAGCGGTCAAACGGCCTCGAAGGAAGGACCATGTACAGCGACGAATGACACGGATGGTGAAAAACAAAGGTAGTGCCTTTTGGTAGTGGTTAACGATTATGTGGATTGGTGCACTGAACAAATGCTTTTCGTATCTTAATGTCACAGCCTTGATGAGCATGGGTTGTGGCGCTCAGCACTAAGGACTGACACCAGGCTGTGAATACCAATTTGAGTTTACATTGCAAGAGTCCTGGGGTAAAAAGTGTTCATCTTAAAATGCAGATGGACTACTATAAATCTTGGAGATTGGGGTCCTTATTTAAGTATGTATATCTTGCTTTGTGTGTACTGGAATTGTCAGGAGGCGTTTCCTGTCAGCATAGTTTTGATCGAGTTCTTCGAGTCTCCTGGTATCGCATTTTGGACGGGTGGCGGGTCCTCAGCAGGAATGGCTTCCGAATCGCTTCTAAATATGTCATTACCGTGCGGGTCTCTACTATTAACTGTGACCACAGTTCTGGATATATATATATATATATATATATATATATAGATATATATATTATATATATCCTCTCTCTCCTCTCTCTCTCTCTCTCTCTCTCTCTCTCTCTCTCTCCTCCTCTCTCTCTCCCTCTCTCTCTCTCTCTCTCTCTCTCTCTCTCTCTCTCTCTCGCTCCTCTCTCTCTCTCGCTCTCTCTCTCTCGCTCGCTCTCTCTCGCTTTCTCCTCTCTC